GCACATAATCAGTGCTTAATGATAAAGAAAAATGATAAAGATAAATATCTCTCCCTCTCTCTCATTTTTAGCATTCACAGCAATTGATGCTTTGTAGTGAAACTCTTGAAGGTGGATTTTGGGGATGGGATATGGATGGCATTAGTTCATGTAGCATTATAGGAAGAAATAGGTTAGAGACAGGAGCTTTTCATCTTGAGGGAAAGACCTAGGGGAGGCAGGGTGGATATGCCTGACATTTCCTCCCAGGTACTTGCATCCAGATAGATCATGAGAACTACAGGGTGGGCAGGTGCACCTGGGTGAGGGATTTCTGTGCTGTGGAATGAATCAGAGGTGACTTCCTTCCTTCCTGGAGCACAGGGGCAAGCTGCTGATGAACTTTCCCATCTCTGGTGTCTAAGCAGGAAGCCCTTTCCTGCCCTTTGTGGTCAAGAAGTCACTAGCTGTCCTATTTCTTCTTTGCTGATCAATTCCTTCCCTTATTGAGTATTCTGTTCCCTCTGCACTTTGTGTTAAAATTCATCCTCCCTGATACATGAAAGGAGTTTAGCCTACTAACTTTGGTTATGTGATTACTTGGGACACTGGCCCTGGAGAGTCTGGGAGCTAGAACTTGTCTGGAAAAAATGCAATACTCCCTTCACATGCAGGGCGGCAGTTAGGCTCAAACGGGGACCCAACTGTCAAATAGTGGGATGCCTTCAAAGAATTTTCCAACCCTGTGGGGCTGACTGTGACTAACCTCATGAAAGGTTATAAGCAGGAGAAATAAAGACCAAATCAAACCCAAATTCCCCATTGACAGCCTCTATGCAAGTATTCTGTATACATAATCCCAGTAGCCAAAGATAGAAAAGGGGGAATAAAGGAGAGTGAGCACCTTGTGGACTCTCCTGCTGGAACTAAACCCCATGATATATGCGGGGCTGATCTCTGGGACTTGATTTCCTCCTCCTCTCCTCCACTTCTTTTTAGATTGAGTCTCCTACTGTCTTTAGCCTTGGAATTTCAGCAGTGATTTGAATTGAAACTGGTTCTTGCATCAGGATTTTCTGTCTTTGCTGTAAGGCTGGCAGGAATTTTTTGTTCTGGTTGATTTTCTGAATTCCGGTTTGCTCATGTGATTATACACCGATATAATTGTAATTGGCTTCCCTTCCCGATTCCTGCCCCCAACAAGACTATTTATGAGTTCTACTGTTTTCTGTTTGTTTGTTTATAGTTGTTTATTTTTTAGCACTTATCAGTTTTATATATTTTACTCTTGTTATTTTGAATCCAAAGGGCATGTCACCTCCCACTGTAAAAATCACTTTTGGTTGTGTTTCTGGTAGACTTTTCTTTTGAGGTCCAAATAATTTTGTTTCATTTCCTATTTGTAGATTGGAATTGTTCTTCCAGTTATTATTCCAGGAAAGCCTTATTTATTACTGTTTTTTTAAAAAAAAATTAGTAAAGCTTCATGTTTTTTTCCCATTAGCTTGTTCTGCTATTATTTAACTGATATTACTAAAGAAAATTTGTATGTGATTTGTCTAAAGCTGAATTTTGTTGACATACTGCTATGTGTTTATAAGCAAGTTTTGAAGGCCTGCTGTATACCAAATTATTTGCTATGTTAGTACAGGAAAAAAGTTACTGATAGTTTCCATGATTTGAGTCCATGCTGTTGCTTTGATATTGCTTGCACAGAGTATTATTGTTTCTGTAAAGTTAATTAATTACATAGAACTTGGCTGGCTGTAATAGTGAGCAATTTTATTGCTGAAAATCTTGTATAGGTGATTATCACACATGGTACAATTCGTAAAGGATATGAGAGTTGAAACAATGGTGTGCTTTGGTGCCAGGAAATCATAAAGCTCTCCTAATGTTAGAGACAGACCTAAATTATAAGGAAAATGACATTTTAAAGAAAATCATGCAGGACTGTGAAGGGTTTCAAAGATTGTGCAGTTAAGGTAACAGACATCAAAGCAGGTGAGACAATTCAGGTAGTTTTGATGATATAACTGGAGTCATTTAAATATGAATCCCCCCAGGAGAAATTGGATGCATCTACTCCTCTTGAGCTCCACTTCTCCCTCTCTTCTTCCACCTTCTTCTCAGAATACCCCACAAAACAATCCATTCAACTACTTACTCAGGGTCCCAGAGTTCCTCTTCAAAACATTCAGTGCTGAGAATTCTGGGAATTCTGGTGCTTGCAAAGGAGGGCCACTTTTGTGATTCTTGAGTCTCCTCTTAGCCTGGACACTCTTAGAGAGATAGAATCAGGTTTGCTCTATTTCTAACTCTTTTCCCTCTCGCATCAGATTCCTACAGGGAACCCTTCATATGGAAGAGCATAAAATAGGTCCCATAATGATTTGTGGTAGTTTGGTTATTCTACCCATGTGAGTGAGCAACCATATGTAGTCTTGTGCTCTGATCATTCTTCACACTGATAGGAGTTCTGATGGATCTGAGAGAGTGTTGCTTTTGGTGACTTATTGGTAGGATAGAATGGCCCCAGAAAAGGGGAAGACCCAACCCAAGAAAGGTCTTGAGGCCCTACCTGGTCCAAGTAGACAGACAATGAGAGCCGTATAATTATTCTCTAGAAAAACTCAGCCCAGCCCACCCTGCTCTCCTTTTTCCAGACTTCCCCATTTCAGTTGCTCCCAGACCCCAAGGTTCACAAACTCAGAGTCATCCTTGACTCTTCTCTTTTATTCTTCCACTCTTTCCCCTCTCTATCTGTTTCTCTATGTCTTTCCACCACTGTCTATGTCTCTGCCTGAATCTATCTCTCTCTATCTGTGTACATTTCTCTCTTTATATCACTGTCTATGTCCATGTCTGCCTCATTGTCTCTATTTCTACATATGTCTCTGTGTCTCTCCAATCAGTCACAAATCATGCTGATTCTGCCTCTATAATATGTCTTACATATTGCTTCTTCCCTCTACTTCCATAACCACCACTCTTCTTCAGGCCCTCATGCTCTCTCACCTGGACTGTTGGGATCTCCCTGCTTCTCTTGACTCTGCTTAAAAGTACCCTTTATACAGCTGCCAAAATAGCCTTCCTAAGGTGCCCCTGATTGTGGCACCTTACTTCTTAAGAACCTTTGGTGGTTCCCAATAGCATGTAGCATAAAATAGAAAGTCTTTGGTTTTAAAGTCCTCCACAGTCTTTCCCCCACTTCTCTTTCCAGCCTTATTTCACCTAATTCCTCATCCTGATAGTTAACAGTTTGGCTGGGGACTTAGTGCCTAAATCAGAATAGTAGGATGATAGAGATCTCTGAGGTCATTTAGCCTAAACTCTTGATGTTGCAGTTGAGGAAACTGAGGCCTGGAGAGGTTAATTTGCTCAAGGTCACACAAGTAGTAAGTGCAGAACCAGGATCCACAGACTTCAAATTTAAAGATTTTGCCAAAGATTCAGCTAGTGGTAGTGGTTGTCCTTCATTCTCTAAGAGGATCAAAATGTCATCACTATGTTAGAGTCACAGTACAGTGTGTCCAGCTGTTGCTGATCAGGCCTATATGAGCTCAGAAAGCTCTACCACAGGTTGGGCACAAAAATCCACACAAACATTTGGAGTGGAGATGTCTCTAAATCTAAATCTCCAGTCTCTAAATGTGAATCTCATATTTCTTTTGAGCTACTATGATTCTGCTTTGCTCATAGAATACAGCCCCTTCTTGATGCTGGCACACCATGCTGTGTGGTCCTGTGCCAGTGTCTCCCATGTCACATAATCAATTCCAAAGTTCTTCAGAGAGACCTTGAGAATGTCCTTGCATCACTTCTTCTGATCTCCATGTGAATACTTGCTTTATGTGAGCTCTCCATAAAATACTCTTTTAGGTAAAGGTAGGTTCGGCATTTGAAGAACATGGCTAGCTCATTTGGAGTTGCACTCTCTACCGCAAAGTTTGGATGTTTGGCAGTTCAGCTCAAGAAAGGACCTCAGTGCTCTTTTTCCATTTGGAATGATGTTGGGCATAGAAGAAAAGATCCCTTCTGAAAAAGCAAGAGGCTTTTGCAATACTGAAGGTCAAATGCCTGAAGAAGAAGATGGCTGTAAAAAAGTTCCATAAAATATGGAGGAAAGTTATCTATGAAAAAGCTAAAACCTACCATAAGGAGTAAAGACAGATGTACAGAAGTGAAATTCAGCTGGCTAGAATGGCATACAAAGTTGGCAACTACTATGTACCTGCTGAACCCAAATTAGCTTTTGTGATCAGAAACAGAGGTATCAATGATGTTAGCTCAAAGGTCCAAAAAGTTTTGCAGATTCTTTGTCTTCAACAAATCTTCAATGGCATTTTTGTTAGCTTAATAAGGCTTTGATTAACATGCTGAGGAATGTGGAACCATACATTGCGTGGGGTTACCCAAACCTGAAGTCTGTGAATGATCTGATTTACAAATGTGGTTATAGCAAGATCAAGAAACAGAGAATTGCTCTGATGGATAATGCCCTTATTGCAAAATCTCTTGGTAAATATGGAATTATCTTCATGGAGGACTTGATCCATGAGATCTACACTGTTGGCAAGCACTTCAAGGCTGCCAACAACTTCCTGTGGCCCTTCAAATGATCTTCTCCACAAGGTGGAATGAAGAAAAACACTACACATTTTGTGGAAGGTGGAGATGCTGCTAACAGGGAAGACCAGATCAACAGGCTTATAAGAAGAATGAACTAAAGGTTTGTACCATGATTATTTTTCTAATGGTCTGTCAATAAAAATGTCTGTGACAAAAAAAAAAAAGAAAGAAAAGAAAAGACCTCAGCAACTGGTACTTTATATTCTCAGGTGATCTTCAGAATCTTCCTAATACAATTCAAGTGGAAGTGATTCAGTTTCCTAGCATAGTGCTGGTAAACTATCCAGCTTTCACAGACATACAACAATGAGATCAGCACCATGGTTCTGTAGACCTTCAGTGTGGTAGGCAGTCTAACGCCTATTCTGTCACACACTTTCGGTCAGAGCCTCCCAAACACTGAGCTAGCTCTGACAATGTATGCATCAACCACATCATCAATGTGGACATTTCTGGAAAATATACTGCCAAGGTAAGTGAATTTTTCCACAGTATTCAAAATTCTCCATTTGCTGTAACTGTATGGATGGTGTGGTGTTGGCTGGTAGGGAACGTGTGCCTTCTTGATGTTGTTTCTCAAGCCAAAGTCAGCAAAAGCAGCAGAGAATTGATCCATACTTTGTTGCATCTCAGCTTCAGAGGCTGCATTGAAGTGCACCATCATCTGCAAACAAACAATCGTGTACCAACTCTCCCTCTACTTTAGTCTTGGCTTATAGTCTTTTCAAGTTAAATAATTTATTATCAGTATGGTAGCTGACTTTTATGGCATTTTGGTCCTTGTTGAAGGAGTCTGACAGCATTGCTAAAAGCATCAGGCTAAGAAGCATGCAAGCTAGCACACAGTCTAGCTTCACTCAGAGAAATGTAACTTAAAGTACTTTGGATGTTCCTCCTCACACCCACAAAATTGGAAATTTTCCTTCCCACTGTTTTCCATCTCCACTTAAAAAGAAAAAAAAACCACTCCTACAGAGTTGGCAGGGTGTGAGATAGTAAGCACAATAGTTCCGCATATACAAGGGTGGGGAGGATGAATAAAATGGTGTGACAACCCTGCCCAAACCAGTAGTGCCTCCATTAGGACCACACACCATACCACTGCTAATGCTGCTCCTCCCTTCCTCCCTCCCTCCCTCCCTTCCTTCCTTCCTTCCTCCCTTCCTTCCCCTCCTTGATCCACCCCACCCCCCATTCTTTTTGGCAAGTGTACATATTGCATTCAAACAATGTAGCCAGCCCATCATTGAGCTCTCTGAAGCTGGATTTGAATGCTTGGCAGTTTAGCTTAAGAAAGGACCTCAGTGTCTGGTACCTTATTCTGCCCGGTGATCTTCAAAATCTTCCTAAGACTTGCAGTCAAACAATACTACCAAGAAATATTACTGTTTAAAAAGAAAATTCAGCCAGACACTCTCCCCAGATTGGGGAGAGAAGAGACTTGAGACAGGGAAACCAATTGGAAGCAATTGTAATAGTCGAGGCAGGTGGCAGCAAAAGCCTGAATTAGGTGATGGCCAGGTGAGTGGTGAAGAAGACTGATGTGGAAGAAGTTCTGGATGTAGAGTTCACAAGATTTGATAAATGATCCAATGTGATATATGTGGTGATTGAGGAATCAAAGGTTACTCAATGTTACAAACCTGTGTGACTTTTAGGATAATGGTGTCCTTGACAGAATTAGGAAAGTTTGGAATAGAGATGGGTTTGAGAGGAAAGATAATGAGAAGAGATGGATGAGGTTGTTGAAATATCATTGATAAATTTGGACAGAGAAATTTCAACTATGTGATGAGGTTGGAAGCCAGATTTCAGAGAACCTAAGAACTGAGTGAAAGGAGGCGAAGTGAAGGCAATGAGTCATAGACAGCTTTCTTTGGGAGTCTGTGAAAGAAAAAGGTAGGATGATAACTAGAGTGGCTGGTAGAATTAAGTGACAGTTCTTTTTAAATGATGAGGAGACCTGGGAGATGACTGTGGAGGTAATCTGCAGGAAGAATGGGAACAAGGGTGTATATATAGAGGGATTGGTCTTAGCTAGAAGAGCCACCTCTTCATCAGAGACTAGAGTAAATAAGAAGAGTATGGAAGGATAATTTCAGGGGGCTTGGGCATGGAGAAAAGTGAAAGGAAAGTTCATGTGCATTGTCTCTACTTTCTCAGTATAGTCTGAGACAAAGTGTTCAGCTCTGGAGGTGGGGGAGATTTGATAGGGGACACTTGAAATAAAAGATTTGGAACAGCCATTGTGGGGAATGGCACAGGGAATCAATGAAGCAGGCACAACTGCCTAGTACATGGACTTTATTATTAGCCCCCCAAAAGCAACAAAGGATATATCAATAACTATCAATCCATTTGTTTTATTTCCCATTTCCACAAGATTTTTATGAGAATAATTTACACAGCCATTGACAAATCATTGATGAAGGTATAAGAAGGAAAAAGGCAGGCTTTCACATACCATATTCTACAGCAGACAACATCTTTATAGTCACACAGTTGACTGCAAGATGTAGAGCAGAAGCAGGGAACCTTTTCATATTGAAAATTTAGCTGTAATCAAATAAGGCCACATTCAAGAAACTTCAATTAGATACATTTAAAAATGTACATTATTTTGTAAAAATCTAACTACTGTATACTTAATAATTTCAAAAAATGAAAACTATTTGTTAATTTTAAAGTTAACTAAGGTTACACATGGCTTTAAGGGCACAGGTTCCCCAACCCTGGATAGAGAATACAGATTTCCATTATGCTTATTGTTTATTGACTTTAAAAAGAAGCATTTGACTCAGTAGAGCAACATGGTGTCTTCAAGACTCTCCCCCACCAATGTATCTCCCATGTATGTGTCATGCATAATTATATGAGACTCCTTGAAAGAGAAAACAAGTTATTTGAAAACTCTCTGATTATTATTTTCAAGCAGGAAATAGAGATGAGACATGAGCTGTCAAAGGTGTTTAGCATTGTCATAAAGATTGTCTAACACCTCCAAAAGTCTCATGATGGAAAATACCATTAACATCGAGAGAAAGAACTATGGAGTTTGAATGCAGATCGAAGCACACTATTTGCTTTTTTTTTCCTTCTGTTTTGTTTCCTCTTTCTTATGGTTCTTCCTATTGGTTCTAATTCTTCCTTACAACGTGATTAATGTGAAAATATGTTTAATAGGAATGTATATGTAGAACCTATATCAGATTGCATACCATCTTAGGGAGGGAGGAGAGAGAGAGGCAGAGAAAAATTTAAAACTCAAAAATGTATGGAAGGGACTGTTGAAAATTAAAATTAAATTAATTTGAGAAAAGAAAAAAATTACCTAAAAGGAAAAAGGATTATCTATAGGCCATGTGGTCCTCTTGATTTTACTGTTTGTAGATGAATTGTGCTGATTACATCAAACTCAAGAATATCGTAGATCCTTGTACAAGAGATGCACAATTACTCAAAATTTTCACATAAATCACTATACAAAAAAGTATAAGAAGAATGAATATTATCCAGAATATGATTTAGGATTGGATGGACAACCCACAGAGCTGGTACATCAATGCATCTTAGACACCACTGCATAAAGTCAATGAGCTGGACCCAGAAAGAGAAGAGAGTAGATTGAAATGTGTCTGGGAAATTATGTAGTACTTTGAATCAATTGAATTAACCTATCAATCAATTAATCAATCAAATCAATTAATCAACCAAAAATTTACTAAGCACCTACTCTTTATCAGGCATTGTGCTTGGTGCTAGATACATAAAGAAAAAAAAAAGGAAACAGTCTGTGTTATCAAGGAGCTTACATTCCAGTGACTCCAAGCTGTTCCCCTAAATCAAGGCCCAATTTTCTTTTTAAACAGTAGTATTCTTTGGTGATATTTGACTAGAAGTCATGGAATAAGTCTCTGAAGCACTGAAGTTGAGCATTACCCAAATGTTAATGAAGAATCACATGAAGGATAGGTAGGGATGTGAGCAGCGTATTAAAAATGAGGAATTGTGTAAAAGTGATGTAAAAGATGTCATGCAAAAGAAATTTTTATGACTGAAAAGAAGGCATATGGACCTTGTAGGGAGTGCAAAGTATAACAGTGGTGTTGTCCAAGTGGAGACAATTCATTTGGGCTGGGTTGTTACTCCCTGGTATTCATCCTCATTTATTCACCCTTATACTGGTGGAACTACTCCTATCTTTGGACAAGAATTTCATTCTGCTTATCCACTTACTATCTCAGTCGCTCCCAACTCACTAAGAGTTTTTTTTTTCTTTCTAAGTGGCCATGGAAAACAATGAGAAGGAAACTAATGGAAGTCCCACTTGCAGCTACTGTGAGAGTGTCGCCATTATCTTCCTTATATTGAACCGTATCTGCGATGTTGGATGTGGTCATCAAGGATTTCCCAGGAGGAAGAGGAGGAGGAGGATGACAGGAGGTTGGGAGATGAGTAAGGTGTTGAGAGATTTATTCCAAGAAAAGAGGAGCAACTGGAACTTCCAGGCTTGGGGTGTGAAAGGTGTGGGCATGAAGGCAGTGTGGGAAGGCAGCAAAGGCTGGGAGAGAAAATTTGTCACTCATAACCTGTCCCTCTCGTTATTGTCCAGGATTCCAACAAAGATATACTGAAAGGGAGGGTCTGCATTATACCCAGATCCACGTGAAAGAAAGCCAGGGAGAGACCACAGAAATATGTGGGAAGTACTCCAAGGCCACTGAGGAGGGGAAAATAGGTAGCTTGGAGCAAGGGAAGAGTCAGTCTCACACATAGCTTCCTATCATCCAGATACCCAAGGAGAAGTGCCTTGCCCTTGTAACAGAAAGGGAAATTCAGCCTCACACCCAGGAATGAGAGGAAAGGTAATTGGAACTGAAGTAGAGGTAAGACCTACATCCAAATGCAGGGTGCGGGGTAGGGAAGAAGGGAGAGAAAGAGAAGGAGGGAAGGAGGGATGAGGGAGGGAAAGGGGGGAAAGAGGAAGAGAAGAGGAGAGACAGAGAGAGACAAAGAAAGACAAAGAGAGACAGAGACAGAGAGAAATATGTTTGAAGGACAGGGGAGTGAGGGGCAGGTTTGAAAAAAGGGGAAGGAAATGAGGGATGCCTAGAACAGGCACCTGTAAAGATCTGAAAAAAGCAGTCACAGGATATAGACTCAGGGAGGAGGACATGAGGGATATTCTGGGTCACATCCTGCAGATACCAAAGGAAGGTTTGGAGCAGGTTTAAAAAGTGTTAATGGGAATTGTAAAGGCCTAGGCTCAGTTGCAGGGGACTTTTTTAGTTTCTGAGAACAAAAGTATCTGTCCATGCCCTGCTTTGGGGAAAGGGGAGAATTGTAGGTATTGGGCAGAGGAGATAGTAGTGGAACTGCAGACAAGGGGGTTGATTTGCACACCACAACTGACTCCCAACCCAGGAGGCATCCAGGAGGCATCATCTTGTAGAGTAAGATCCTCAGTAAAGA